CAAATATTCTGATGTTACAAAAGTTTGGGCCGGCAGGCCTTGGGGGAATGACAATCTCAATATAGGAAAAACACCTGCAAACTCCAACGTGCTGGAAACATGGGACATTTATCACTCACTCAGCTTGGCACCACTAACCCTGCACAGGGTGGCTCCCCTTCCTGATTTCCACCAGTGCCTCATGTGGGGGAAGAATCAGGTTTCACCTGCTTTATCCCCTTCTCTTCTGAGATCATGTCAGAGTACCTGACCTGCAAGCCTGGAATTCCAATTCTCTCACCCCATCAGCTCAGCATCCCACCAGCATCCCTGCCTCCTTGCTTCAGCTCAGAGCATTGTGTGCCATTTGCAGGGGAGCACTTCCCCATCTGCATTCAGGACTCCCCAGCCCAAGCCCCCGTCCCCACTTCAGGGAGCGAGGAGGCACATGGCATCAGGGCTGGAGAGTGGAGCAGTTCCCTGGAGCCAGTGGAGCTGGCTCTGCCTCTGTCCCTGCCCGAACCCCAGTCTCGCCTCACCTCAGGGAGGAGCTGTTGCCTGACCCACACGAGGAGTGAGCTTATCACTGGTAAGTGTCCTGTGCCAGCACCAGTGCCTCCGCTGCACTCGGCACCCAAAGTTTACAGGAAGCTGCATCCCAGCTCCTCTCTGGGCAGGTGTGCAGCATTAAAGAATTACTGCACGGTAAGATTTTTTATTGGTGCTGTGCACACGCACAGCTTAGAGGGAAGCTTGGTAGAGGTTAATGTACTAGATTTACATCCTCCTCTTACAGAAACCATAGGCAACACATACACCATGCAAATCCCTAGGTTTAACTTTGAAGAAAACCTCACAGGATTTCTTGGTGGCTAATATGTACTAGAAGTGTACAAAATGGGCCGTATTCAATTCGGATTTGGATTCAACCTGAATTGGGGACAGTGATTTGATTTGTTGATTCAGATCCCTGTCCCCAATTCAATTTGGCCCAATCCAAATCTAAAGATTTGATGCTGATTCGGCCAATCCGCAATTCAGCCATAGACACAGCTTTAAATATTTTTTACACATACCTTGAGGTACCAGGTGTGGCTTGGGAATGCTACGATGCTGGGGTGGATGGTGTGTCCCACAGGAGCATGGGGGGGGCACCTGAATGCTCAGTGGTGAATCCGGAAGTGGACTGGAAGTACTTCTGGTCCACTTCCAAGTCTGCTGGGGATCGTCCTGTTCCCCCCGCCCCCCCCATGTCTGCCTGGCTTGGTAATCAGCCACAGGGGGACCCCAAGTGCCCCCCCAGACCCAGTCACTGAGCCGGGGAGGGTGGGCCCACGCACTCCCTGGCAGACCCAGAAATGGACCAGATGTGCTTCTGGTTCACTTCTGGGTCTGCTGCTGAGCACACTGGGGACCACCCCCCCGCACTCCCATGGGACGCTCCATCCGCCCCACCATTCACAAGCCCCCTGGTACCCTCAAGGTATGTAGAAAAAACATTTAAAACTGCATCTATGTCTGAATCGTCAAATCTTTCCTAATCTCTCCAAATAGATCTGGAGGGTTCCAATTTGACTCGGAGAGATTAAAGGGTCTCCTGATTCAATTCAGATTCAGAGATTTGACTACCAAATCATGCCAAATCTCTGCCAAATCAAATCAGTGACCAAAGCTTTGCACAGCCCTAATATGTATATAAAGCAAAAGGCAGCAACTGTCCAAGCCACCATTCCCCTCTGCAGTGTTCCCCTCCACAGACAGAGGCAGATAATTGTGCTTTTAGACACACCACTCCATCCTAACCACAGCAATAGTTGGAAAGGGCAAATTCATAAGTAATGAATTGTAGCACCTGCAATAGGGGCAGAGGTGGGAATAGAGAGCAGACTGTAGAAGCAGGTGGTGCAGAGGGGACAAGCACCACAGTGCATGGTGAAGATGACAGGCAGAGCTATGTACCACTGAACTCTGACCCTCCATTCCCACTGCCCCATGCCATGCAATTTTGAGATTAATCCAATCACTTTGCCAGCTGAATTCAGCCCAGGGGCTGTAGGTTGCCAAGGCATGCCATAGAACACGATCTGGTCCTAAATAACACCAACTTCAGTAAACAAAGCATAGGGAGCTTACTTTTGCCAGTATGACGACTGGTCAGATACAGAAGTTCAGAAAGTAGAATTCCATTTCTGAACTAGTGAAATAAAGCAATTATGGCTGAAATACAATGATAAAAACACTATTGTGTGGTTTCCAAGCAGTACTCTTTCAGTGACTGGCACAGTTTTATAAGTCAACAAGTAATGCTTATAACATGAAAATTTAACTTAGGACATGAAAAGGCTATGTTCTTTGCACCCTCTCCATGCACAATAAAGATTCTTCTATTTAAACTTGCTGTAAACGTACTATAGGTGATTATGCTTAAAATAGTAGCCCTATTGACTTTGTTGTACTAACTGTATTAAAGAGTTTTTCTCTTTAAAGATGAAAATGCAAAGTGAACAGATATTGTGTGGAAGATTAGTATAAATAACATTTACTTACGTTTACTTAACTATTTTCTAACTAAGGAGGTTGCTGGAATCTAATAAAAGAACCCAGGGGCTGAGATTTACATGTTCCTAAATTTTAATCCCAGCCTTGCCATTCTTCTGCTTTGTGTAGCCCACTTAATTTCCTGGAACTGTTATTTCTTCATCTATAAAATGAGGATAAATAATACTAGCCGCATGAGGCCATTGTAAAAATTACAGATGTTGAAATAGGGCCTCAACATTTGTACATAGCTTGATTACATTATTTTCTGAAGTGATGATAAAACTTAGACAAACACTATTTATTCAATAGAAATTACAATTCCCTTATTATTTCAGCATATTTTATAAACAACAAAAAATCAGCAGCCATTCAGATATTTTTACACACAGTGTTCAGTTCTTAGATGAGTCTCAAACACATAGTGCAAAACAGATGGAATATGTGATAATGGTTCAAGTACAAAGACATTCAAAGGTAATGCATTTTAAGTGAGTTAACATTCATTACAGAAGTTATATTTAAGTTAAATAATTTTGGCATTCAAATCATGTACATATGTGAATGTATATAGAAAACAGTAGAAGATGATTCCAGAGTCTTAAGGAACATCAGTTTAACCACAATTGAGGAGTAAATGTTCAGCTTTTTGTTTCCCTCCATGTAAACAATGTTACACTTTAATTTTAGTATCCTTTACAGCAATTGTACAGATACCATACCACCTGCAAGCTCCTTTCTAAAAAAGGTAGGGCTTTCTTGAAGTATTTAGTTAAGTTAAAATGGGAAAAGTCATTCTCTTATTTGGGTCACTCATCTCAGTGCACCTTATATTACTTTTTTAATTCCATTCATGGTATACGAGAAATTCTGCATTACAGTGACTCTCGGCCTTAGTGATGTTATACAAGATGGGATGCAATTAGTGCATAATTTACACACTAAAAATAATTTAAGAGTAAATGAATTATTGTAAACTGTGAATTCACGAATAGCCTCAGACAGATAAAGTGAACACTTGCATCTTTCCTGGAGCAGAAGATATATAAGCCCTGATCCAGAGAAGCATTTAAGAATGTACTTAGTAGCATTAAGCAATGGTTGTAGTCAACAAGACTTCAGTTCATGTTAAAAAGCTTTTTAAACACATTCCTTAATAACTGAGAAGACCTGAATTGGTGCTAACACTACCACCAATAGTGCACTGGGAAAATAAGTGTGTGTAAACATGCTTTATATTTAAGAATGGGTCAGATGGTGCTTTAGTGCAAAGTGAGCAAGAGAAGAATTCTTCACTATATTCCATAACACTATTAAAAATAAAAACCACATTAAATATTGTAATTATTCAATATCTCTTTGCAGCATATGTAGATTAACAAGGAACTTTAGTACAGATGACAACTTTCTCCAATATCATTCGTGCAGTGCTAAGCACCATGAGAAGTAACTGATGTCACAGCAGTTGTGGCATCCATTAACATCAGTGAAAGGCAGCATGCAGATTTCTATTATCACAAAATATGGTAATGGTTTAAAAAAGGGGGAGAAAAATACAGAAAATATTTTTTCAATTTAAATGTTTTACTATTTCATGCTATCTATTTTGATGGTGTACAGAAAATGTCCCTTCAGTGCTCATAAAAGATGCAAGATGGATAATCTAGGAATACAAAGCTTCTTTTTAGCCTCTGAATAGGCTACAGAGGAGATTGAAGCATTTTAAGCTTTTAAAATGCCTCAAAATCAGTGTATTGTTCAACCTTGATTTGGTAGGACCACCTCTAAAAGGTGAAAGGAGGGGTTATTCTCCATGCTTATTTAATATTTGGTTATTCTGTGATGGATGAATTGGTGGCAATTTTATGGGTGTTTTTGTGACAGAACCATCTGTTCATTAGAAAATTTGTTTTGCATTTGATTATAGAACAGCCATCAGGTAGCAACCCGCCTCAGTTACAAAGCAGCCACATTCAAGAGTGACTTTAGAGATGAAAGGTTGCACCCTCGCACTCCTAATCGGATAATCAACCCATCACCTAGAAAGTTTCCTTTAAATTTATTTCAGTCTGCTGAGCAGATAGAAGATACCATAAACAAATACAGAAGTCAAGATGAGGCTGCTTGAAAAATTGGCATTTGTCTCCTTTTGTTTTTATTTCTTCCACAATTTTCCCCTTCCCTTACCTGTAAACAAACAACTTTGATATGTATTATATAGAAACAGTTTAGACATACTAAAGCTAACACCTTGATTTCTTCTTGTTTTGTTTTACTGAGATGACTATGTCAGACACCATGTATATGTAAACAAATATACTTTATATTTTTACAAATACCTAAAATACATACATTGTCATCAAATTTGATGGCATGTTATTTATTTTTATCTAGTGTTAGACAACTACAAAAAATAAAGTTCTTGGCTAATACAGTGCATTTTGGCCTGTCTTTCTTCCTCTCCTCCCCCACTAAATTTTGTCTACTTCTCAGCCTAGAAACAACATACACAATAGTTAAGAGTGCTTAAAAACATTACTCTTAACTTAAATGCTGCACTTAAAAATTATGAACGAAATCAAAGCATCTATCAAGTACATGGAAAGAAAAATATTCCAGCAACTTCAAATTTGCACATTTCATTCATGGAATTTTATAAATTCAAAACTTTCAAAAGCTCTTAATTTAAATCTATATTATATCACACATCATCTACATAATTACCATTCGTAAACCAAGAGCTGTGTATAAACAACTGTATAGTCTCTACACTGTAGAAATTGTACACACAGTTAAAAATAAAAACACAGCTATTTGTCATATGAAATAATCTGGTTTTTGACCATCCAAGTCTTAGAAAAATCAGATGTAGGTTTCTTCTGGAAGGACTTTGTTTTTCTGCAGAACTGTTGTTAGTTCCTGAATAACATCTGATGGTAATTTGTTATCTGGTTCCAAATTAGATTTGTTTGTTTTGTTCTTCTTTTTCTTTGCTGCCTTTGCCTCTTTAAAATGTTTTTGGTGAAAGTCAGTTACGTTGGCACCTGTGTCCTCAACGAAGATCAAGTTCCGATGCTTCTTTGCATGATTTTGCGCTGTCTCCTCTTTTCGTTCCAGGCACTGTGCCACTATAGATGCTTTTTCTTTTAGGTTCTTTTTTTCTTCCATTAAGTCATTTTCATATTGCTTATTGAGCTTTAGCTTTCCAGATTCCAATTGTATATCCTGAACAAACAAGGACAGAGAAATAAAATGGTTCAAATTAACGCAGTATTCAATAATATTTAGATTGCAATTTTTGCTCATTAGGTTTACATAACAGCTTACAAGAAAATCAATTTTGTTGAAGAGCTGCAGCAGCATAGCTGATCGTTCTGAATTTCTACAATTTATGTTCTTATGATTTAATAGGCAGTTCTTACTTATTTTCCATGTAAATTATACATCTGAACATGGAAATAATCTTTAGACTACCAAATTAAACACACTGAATCATTGGAATATAGACATTTATTTTCAGATACTCAGAAAATCTGTTTTTCAACCTAGCATCTTAGACTTAATTTTAATGTTGTACAGCAGCAAAACCTGGCACATTACTTATATAACTTAGAAAAGCAGGCAGCTAATGCTGATAATATTGCAACAGCTTTGATTACTTACCAGGTGATCCAGCTGGATACATATAAACATTTTTTACATTTTTAATGCCTTATTCTAATTCCTAAAAGCAGACTGAGTCAACTACTCGCATAAAAAAATCCACCAAGGACAAACTCTTAGAAAGAAGCTCTTTGTTCTTTTTAAGTACAAAAGGGTCTCCCTGATAACAGAATGAGCTGGATGTTTGTCACAAACGTTTTGGCAGAGGACTCCCAGAGCCCTAGGTTTCTCTCCTCTACTCTACCACTTGTCCCAAGGAACTGACTGAGGTTGTCCTGGGATAGTTCCCTGACCAGGGCCATCCCTGGGTTGGGGGGGAGCAAATTGGGGTGACTGCCTTGGGCCCATGCTTTGGGGGGCCCCGTGGAGCTGGGCAGAGTGGCTGCAGTGACTCTGCCACCAGCTTCATGTCCAGCCATTCACCCCTCTTCCCCCCGCCGATGCTGCCAATGGTGGTGGCAGCTTCTTCTGGTCCAGGCCATGTGGGATTGGGGAGGGGGCAGGGCCCCACATGGGCTGATTTACCCTGGGCCCTACAACACCCTGCTTGAGTTGCCTCTGTCCCTGAGCCACAAACTTCAGCCTCACTGCCCTTACACTGGACCCAACAGCTGCCTAGGCAGCTTCCCCTTTGGGTTATGAAAAAAAATGTAGGTCCCTCTTTTCGTTGAAAGGGCTAGCCTGTTTTAGTGCTTGGCCAAAGGTCACTCCATTCACAGAAAACCAGTAAAGAGACAAAACTACAAAAGAATTAGGATACAAGAACAAGAAGACAGGAAGGAAGAACAACAAAACAATAGAGGGTAGAAAAACTATACAAGCAAAACTGAATATGTTTGAAGACAGAAAAACAAAATAAGCATAGTTTCTTACTCTCTCATCTTGGTTATACCCTAGGCTTCTGGAGAGTTCTGGCAGTGTTTTTAGAGATCAACCTTCCTGCTGATACTACCAGCCATGGCTTAGGGCCTGGGACACTTCTACACCTTAGGAAAAACCTAAAACACCATGATTCTGTCCTAGCTAGACTGTAATAAGCCTCCAAAGCTAGCACTCCTTGCTCCAACCCTTCAGCATTACTCTAATTGCTTGCAAGTCACCAGAATCCTCCAATTTTTTTTTTGTTTTCCTAAGGTAAGGTATCTCAAAATCCTCTGGCTGGCAGGTACACCTTTTCTATAGAGGAGTTGAGTTTTCCATTACACACACACAATGTCTTGGGTCTGTGCTCAATACCTCACTTGATAATCTTCTAGTTTCATCATAAAATTACAACTGTAGATTTATATCAAATACTATAATACATACTAATATGAAAATGACCATACTGAATCCAGCTTCAGAATAGCAACAAATAATAGACTAAACAGCTTAGAATAAGTCTGATTTGGGAGAATACCCATGCATGCCACATGGTGAATCCCATAGGTAACTTGGTTTTGGGGTGAATTTGTGACAGTGCTGCTATGTTCAGACATAGGGCACAAGATCATATAATTCCTCAAATAAATACCAACATCTTTATTTTGTGACACTGGCCTCATTCATCTGGTCAGTTAACTGTGAGCACCCTGCTAGAGGGAAGAAGATGAGTGCAACACTTTCAACAGGACATACCTTGCGTCTTTTTTGCAATCTTCCCAAGGACCACAACCTTGATGTGGTAGAGGGCTTTGTGCGCTACACCAAGCACCTTGAGTGATGCTGTCTACAGTCTTGTACTCCTGGTAGGGTGACTCATGGCAATAAGCTCATGAGTGAGATTTCCAGAGTAATAAAGTTCTAAAACTAAAAATAAAAGTCATCTGGAACTGGAACCCTTAGTCACATGCTTACACAGAGGTGACTGTGTATGTTTGTTTTGTACTTGGAACTGAGACAGGTATGCAATTGGTAAATTGCTATCCTGACTGAGCAGACCCATTTATGATCCACTCTGCTCAACCCATATGGGGAGGGAGCTAGAAAAGGTGCCCTAAACAGTAGGGGTGTGTGAAACAGGCCATATTCCATTTGGATTCAGATTTGGCCTGAATCAGAGACAGCGATTCGATTAGTTGATTCAGATCACTGTCCCAATTCGATTCAGCCAAATCCAAATCTAAAGATTTGATGCTGATTCAGAAAATCAGTGATATTACCATAGATGCAACTTTAAATATTTTTTCTACATACCTTGAGGTACCAGGCGCATCTCATGAATGCTGCAATGGTGGGGTGGATGAAGTATGCTTGGCAGTGAACCAAGAAGTGGACATTCCAGTCCACCACCGAGTGTGCAGGGGACCCCCCATGCCCCCTTGGCTTGGCGATTGGCGGCAGCAGGGTGCCCCGCCAAGACCAAGGAGGCACCAGTCACCAAGCTGGGGGGGAGTTCCCCACACGCTCCCTGGCAGACCCAGAAGTGGACCAGAAGTGGTTCTGGTCCACTTCCAGGTCTGCTGCTGAGCATGCTGGGGACCACCCCCCCATGCTTCCATGGGATACATCATCCACCGCAGCATCTCAGCATTCACAGCCCACCTGGTACCTTGAGGTATGTAGAAAAAACATTTAAAGCTGTCTATGTCCAAACCATCAAATCGTTCCAAATCTCTCCAAATCAATTCAGATGGTTCTGATTTGATTGGGAGAGATTCGATTCAGATTGCTGTCCCCTGTGCACTGTGATTAAGCCCTGAGGCCTGGCATCCCTCCTCCTGGCCATGCACACTGAAATTGGGCCATGTGACTGGCTCTGTGTGCTGGGATTGGTTCACTACCTAGCATTCAGAGCCTAGGGCTCCCCATGGGTCCAGAAGTTTGGCAGTAGGGAAGCAGTGCCACCACATCCCACTGCCAAATTTCTGGACTCATAGGGAGCCCAACCAGGTTGGATGACAAGGCTCCAGGGGCCAGATTTGGCCCACTGGCCATGGATTGAGCACCCCTGCTCTAAAGTAACAGAGCTATGAATGTATGTGGTAGTCTGATACATGGGGTGAGGTCATAACTGAAGCACAGAGTCTTCACAGTCTCACACGGGCTAGAATTTTTTAATGTGGCCACAAGCAAACCTTCAATTTCTGTAATCTCTCACATATTACATTGTCAAAAGTTCCATTGATAACAATTTTGTTTTTGTTGAAAATCTGCTCCTTGATACCCCCTCTGTAATGGACTACAGGTAATTCCATCATGCTATGTAAAACATTCAGGTGTGCAGGGGAATTAAGAAAACATCCCAAAATGTGATGAGTTGGCTAGTTCCACTCTATCTAATATCTGTGGACATTTTCATACATATTATGAAATTCTTCCAAGTGCTTCTACAAGCAAAACAGTAATGAGAACAGCATTCGTCAGTCACTTGTTTTCAATTAATAGTCTTGATGGCCCTGAAAATTTAACTTGTACATCAATATACATAAAACAATTTTCATAGGATATTTCTTAGGGAACTTTAAGTATTCTGAGTATTCTGTTTTGATCAAATGTTGCAGTAACATGGTTTGAGTGCTTTTTAAATGTCAGCAAGCCACAAAATGAAATTGCATTCTTGAAATTTAATCTAGGGAAATGCAGTTCCATTTAAAACATTTAGAAAACCAAGTTTCAATTTTGCATCTTTTGACATAAAATATGGTTTACCTTTCATATATATATCTTTTGCTCTACTGAGTACTGTGGGCTCTCTTTTTTCCAGAATTTCTCCATATGAATATGCAAATAGGCCTAAGGTAGCAATCACCTATGGAAAGTATCTGCTCTGCAATAATTGCTCTGCAATAATTTAATATATTATATTACACACATGCTGATGCACGCCCATGCACCCATACATTCTTAAGCCTATTTTCTCATTAACTTTACATTTTAATTTAAACAAACATGTTTAAAACTTATTTTTTGCCACATCCTTTCTTAGTTCATGTAAGAATAAAATTCCTTCAAGTAAAAACCAGTGAAATTTATATTATGCTCTCCAGTCTGTTTAGTGTATAACACTTAATACAGCCTTCTTTTTTCCCATGGTTTTATAAGTTGGTCTAATTTCTCTTAGAAACCTGCTATAGAGTTGTTACACATTTTTGTATAATATACATGTAACGTATAGGAGGGGACTAATTAAGCTATGTGTCACTCACTTGACCTAATGCTTCTTCCTCATCTTTTAACTTGCACGTTTTCTGTTTATATGAAATGAGCCCTTCCTTCCACATACCCATTTTAAAGTATGCCTTTCTAATTTGTCCTGCAAATGAGGTTCATGAGCTTTTCAAAAGAAGTGTTATAGTTATTTTTTATTCGCACCTAATGACATTGCTTTCCAGTGCCTTAAGGCAGTCTTCTGTATTTAAAAAAAAAAAAGGCCGTATTCCCAACTGCATATATTATCTCCATAAGTTTGGTATTCAACCCCTCTGTTGGATATATTTAAATGTTTTTTTCAACATATTAGGCATCTAGTATCAAAAGAAAACTAATTTGGATTCCAACAACACATATAAAACAAGTGCTAGTGAATTTTTTCCACTATTTTGGTTTCTTTTAAGGCGTTAAAGGATTCTTTCTTAATAACTATTCTTGGTGAAATATTAAAATCTAAAACCTGTGCACAGGAATCTCTCTTATCATTCTGAACATTAACTACAGATATGCTAATCATACAACTCTCAGATGTTTGGCCTAACACACTGGAGCTCCTGATAGAAGACTACTCCTCCCCTCCCAGCAAGAATGTCTAGGTAATATTTGAAGATCCAAGACTGAACTTATGCATAGGATACCGAGTAGCAGAAATGACTCTCCCCCCCCTTGAAATTAATTGGTACTCCATGAACATCTAGGAAAACATATCAGAACTGCCCAAAGAGGCAGTATCATACATATATCTGCTGACGTGTAGATTAGTGGAAAGACCACTGGCCTCCAAATAACTGAACTGTATCCCCAACTCTGCTATTAGGTTGCTGACTGACCACATGAAATAACTCCTTGAATCTCCTTGTGCCTGTTTTCTCAACTGAAAAATGGGTATAACAATGCTTCTCCCTTATGTAAAAAGGGATTGAAGAGCCATGTATTTTTAAGAAGAGTAAATCCCACCTTGATATCTTCTCTTCCAACGTCTGTGCAGACAAGTACATTTATTATTATTTTTCTCAGCTGGAAAGTAAAGTTAATAGAAGTCCCTTATGATAAAAGTGCTCATATTGGTTCTAAGAGTTTATTGTAGAAGCTACACACTTTAAAAGTGAGAAATGCCATTAGTCCCAAGAGTCTGTAGTACTTGAGTAGTCGCTGTAAAGAACCATTACTGTAGTCACAGTGCTATTCCTCCATAAGCCTAATAATAGTTTAAAGGAAATATACAGTGGTTAATTCCATCTGAACTTGATTTGCAAATGGAATCCTTACTGGTAAACTTCTAGTATTTATATCTAAAACTGTATAACTTGTTTTGAGAGGAGAAGATATGGTAGAGTACACACAAAACAAGGGCTTCACTTAAAGGCTTTTATTAAAATAAAACCATAATGATGTAACTGCATTTCATGGTTAAAAACCCCCCCAATTAATTCTAATGGGTAGCTCTTATTAAAAACTCCAGTGTTAATTTATCAAACTACAATAGAGTTGACACAAGGCTGGTCATTATATATTTAATTACATTATCCTAAATATTCCTTTAATAGCATAACAATACAAAGGATGATAAGATTAAAAGCCTCAATATCTTACATTTATGCAACTCCAAAGAGATAATTATGACTGAACTATCTAAGAAGGACAAAGAAATAGCAACTTTTTAACTATTACTTTACCTCTGTACTTCCTCTGGTTTTAGGAGTAATTTTCTCTTGTTGAATAGGAATTAAAGGTATGCCTCCAATCTTTGGATTTTTAGTCATAGACTGTTTTCTTGCTTTTCCAGCTGGTGGCCATATATCATTGTGCTGTAGAAATACAAATCCTTATTTTTGGTGTGCAATTTTAAGATGTACAATACTTTCTATGTGAAAAATGCTTCAATAAGCCTACATATCCTGCTGTACCTTTATTTTACATATAAAAAAAAAGAGAGAGAGAGAGAGGAACAGCAGGATATGTAGGCTTATTCAAGGCTTATATATATATTATAGTAACAGGATTATGGTACATATAATTATGTTGATGTTTCAGCAGTCTTGCTGGAGGACTGTAAAAATATTATGTGAACAGAGCTTTAAACTCTCAGTACAATTTGTTTCAGATATTTTCCCTCCAAACAATATATCAAAATATAAAAGTACATACCCACCATTAGGAATTGAAAAAACCCACTCTATCAGGGAACAAAAATATATCCATGGATAATATCATGTTTAACTTAACACTTACTAAGTTCAGTTAAATGCAGATGCATTTTCAAGCAGTTTAGCCTGTGTCATGCCCTATTGGTGTTGCAAAATTGGTTCCTTTCAGGTGACACTTATCTCCTTAACATTTACTCAACTGGATGAGTCACACCATTCCAATGATTTGCAACTGTTGCAACTGAACATCTGATAAGGCCCTATTTGATTTCTAATTTTCACCAGGATCTGGGGGAACGATTGCTCACCAGAGCACCCCAAGGAATGACAAGGTTGAATGGTTATAAACTCCTGCAAGACCGTTTCAGGCTGGACATAAGGAAGAACTTCTTTACTGTCCGAGCCCCCAAGGTCTGGAATAGCCTGCCATCGGAAGTGGGTCAATCACCTACACTGAACGCCTTCAAAAGAAATCTGGATGCTTATCTTGCTGGGATCCTATGACCCCAGCTGACTTCCTGTCCCACGGGCAAGGGGCTTGACTCAATGATCTTTCAAGGTTCCTTCCAACCCTAATGTCTATGAAATCTATAAAATAATTCCAAAATTCTAAGTTCACTTACAGGGTCCCAACCTGAACCAAATAAAAGAAATAAATACAATAATTTGGTCCAATATACAAATAAATATTAAAACTTAAAGGAACATACTTATTCCCAACTTAAACAATTATATAATCCGGAGTGACTATGGTTCTTTAAGATATTTTCAGTGCATATTAAACTGCAGGTGCATGCGTCTCATATGCACAAGACCAGGGTTTTTGCATAGCAGCATTTATCTGGTCCATACACATATCCAGCAAGCCTGAGAGGAAGACACTGGTGTGTAGGCAATTTAGTGCCTCCATATACACTGCCCAGGCTTTTGAACCCTGGAGAGGTCACTCCAGGTTCACTTTATCTTTCATGTTCAGTAAACTGGGCCATTTTTACACGTGTAAGCACCGCAGCACCAGGCACTTTGAAAAGTGCCCGGCATGGCGCCACTTACTGTTGCATAAGCAGCAAAACGCATGTCAGCATGAAGAAAATGGCAGCATTGCCATTTTCTCTGCACTGCCATTCATTTTGCTGCTTATGCAACCGCAAGTGGTGCAGTGCGGTGCACATCAGCTCCTGTACAGAGCAGGGTCAATTAACCCGTGGATCTCCGATGTATCTGAAAATTAAAAGTTATGTGTATAAGTGCCTCTGATGCATCACTCAGCACTATTCTATTGTCTTGTGAGGCAGACAGATGCCTACTATCATATGTCCAGAGTCTCTTCATACTCGAATGCAAGGGATTCTTCATAAGGTCTGAGGGAAAAAGCAGGCAATCCTGCTAACTCTCTGATGAAAGAACCATTTTGAAAGAGGCTCAAAAAGGAGCTTTCATGGAGGAATAGATTAATACTACTCTCCAATTAGTAAATAATAGGATTTTTAGGAACCACATTAGCATTATATAAGAAGAGCAAACAGGACAACACAAGATGCTGACAAGCTGAAACTGCTACAAGGTAAACCTTAGAAAAAGTGAAATAGGAAATATGCTTTAAATAACTGAATATTTTTGGACCATGGTTTACTGAACCATCTATGTCAAGCAATATCCCCTTTTCGTAGATGTCTTACTTTATAATCAGAATTTGCTGAATTTCCAAGGGACAATATCTTTAAGGAGTATTCAACCAGCCAACATTACTGAAGTCAGAAGCAGTGATTTCAGATTTGAATTAAGTATGATATTCTGACAGCTGGACAAATGGCCAAACAGATATCTGGAGTAGGTATTCCATCCAAAAATGTCTTGGCCCTTAGATAGCTTCATGAATGAATAGTATTCTATGGGATGTTCGATATCACTCTGGGACCCTGAGAAATTGGTGAAAAGACATCAATCCTGTATTTACTTCAATCTAAGATGAGGTCCCCCACTCCCATCCAAATCAGCAGGGGAAAAAGCCCTTCATCTTAGATTAACATATGAAGCCAAATGGAAGACAGGCAGGCAGCTGCTGTGGCTCTGACTCTGGCCCTATACCCCGTACATTTGCCCTCTGCAGCTTCTACCACCTGCTTCTGGCCTGTGACCTCCGGCCTGCCCATTACTGTCAGGTGCAGCTTGGCTCCAGCTCAGGCTTGATTCCCTCCCCAGGCACAGAGCACATGAATCTCCCATTCCCTGCCTGGCCAATCAGCAGTACCACTGCTGCTGCATGGCATGGCAAGGGCTATACTTCCACATGCTGCACTTCAGGGAGGGAACAGAGTCCAAGCACCATCTCATAGTAAGGTGGGGAGGGAAGGTAGAGGCAGAGACTGTAAGGAATAGAGGAGAAAAAGAGACAGAGACTGGGGAGAAACTAATTCAAGACAATTTTCCAATAATTAGATTCTACACCTGAAAAATTATAACCAATTCATAAATTTTCCATATATCAAATCTAATTATTGGAGGAAAGGTTCTTAAATTCAGGGTCATCTTAGGTTTGAGTAAATACAGTATGTCTTAATCCAATAATAAAAATAAGGCATTTTGTAATGATCCCACATCCGTATGTCCTTTAAACAAACGGTTCTTACATTTCATGGCATATCTAAGAAATGTATTATGAAAACTCCCCACCAAAGAAATGTTAGTTGTGATGGACCTTGACAGTGATAATCTGTGCCTAGGCACTGGTAGCTTGTTTAAAGTTTGCTAAGCTATCACTGACTTCCCAAAGTGTAGACCTTAACAATCATTTCATATTGGTAGCAACATGCCAGAACTTAATAGATTTCTGCATATGGGCACTCAACAGTACACCTTCTCTTGTTTATGGCAGGGATGGGGAACTGTTCAGGTAGCATGGCAATGGATGTGGTATAAGAACTGAAAGCACAAAAGTTCTAATGATGGTCATAACTAAAATGCTGGCTCAGTATGACAAAACCCAGCTAAACACACCTTCACATTTTTTGTTGATTTATAGACAGAGGTGATAAAGATTAGTTTCATTCCTGTGGCAAGTGCTGGCATGGTACAAATAATATTGATTGCCAATGCAAAAAGCATTTGAACCCATGTGTTAACATGAAAAAAATACATGTGTTGCATCTCATTAGCATTTCATGGCAAAATTCATTCATAAGGCTATGACCACTGCTAACTACAAGAATGCTAAACTGAAAATGTCTAAAACAGCCTACTAGGTTTATTACCTTATTTGTTGTACACATTGTGAGTAATGAGAGGCAATTTTCAGAGTACACCAGTTTTTAGAATACATGAAAATTTAAAAAGTAACAAGAATATACAAATTTGTTTAAAAAACCCCTGAGAAATTGTTTTGCTCAGTCTGGATGCTAGGTTTCTAGAACACATTTTGCTCCATATTTGCTAGTCAAAGTTGTAATAGACAATCTTTCTTATGAACTTATGTCAACAGGATTTGAACAGAGATACCAAGCTTTTGATGAGTTATTTTTAAACAACCTATAACAAATAACCTATGCACCTATTCATTTCAATACTTCTGTTCTGCTCTTTCAGTCTGATTTGATATTCCTTCATTGTGATATTTATGTTATCTTTCTGAGATGTATTTTAGGATTGGTGACTGTTTCTATTTGAACTGTAACAATTACTTCTGTCAAAGCAGAATAAAACCATTTTGAAAAGTCCTGTTGCTTCAGCAATACTTGTTATGTTCTTAATACCACAATTTAGCTCTCTTAGTTTTATGATATGGAGCTCTATATTGTGAGTCTCGTGATTGTTCCTTATTCTGTGCTCAGTACACAAGCAGGATGACTACACATATTGAATTGTAATAAAATGTTAAATAAAGATGCAGCAACTATTATTCGGCATGAATAGTGAGCATTTAAACACTAAAACAACATAAAAGTTTAACAATTCAAGTATATTTACTACAGTAAATTCTAGACTTGATGCTGTCTTCAGAATCATATCTCTTTGTACATATTCCACAGCAGTCTTTGGAAAACTGTAAGAACATATTCCAAAACTCACTGAAATCAATGAGTCTTTACAATGACTGCTGGAATAATTCCAAACTGCCACTTGGCAGCTCTTTGGTGAGTCTGGATGATCTTACCATCACAAGAAGCAATAGCATATATGTTCTTCTAGTCAATCTAGAGTTAATGGGCAAAATCCTATCCTCAGTGCAGTCAGGATTCTACCTATTCCTGCTAATTATCGGCAAGCAATCCGACTTTTTAATCTATTGTTTCTGGAGCAAAGAAAAACCCAGTAAAATGATACTTTTCAAAGGCTAGAATTTAAGTAAAGAACAAGAGCCATTTTTTTATTTCAGTACTAGTAGAAAGCCATCCATAAACTAGATGCATTTTCCTGCAACTTCTGATATCCAGTAACTTCTTAGATTTATCCTTTTTGGTACTATACATAATGCACACACAACTTATTCAATGCTTGTATTTAAGTAGAAACTACTGGTCAAAATCTCAGAATAATAAATATAAAATATATATTTTTTCAAAGAAAAATCCATCTCCTATGTGTGACTGAAGTAGTACCTGCGCACTGAACATGCTGGTAAGCCACTCCATTTGTGCATCCTGTCCATCACAACACAGGCACCTATAAATACAATATACAACACAGTTAACATGAAGAAAAGAATAGAAAAGTTTCTCATTGTGACTGTGGTTTCCAATTTAACATTACTACACAATTTTATTTCCTGTTATTATGTATATCATTGTTATATACTCAACATATTTTATATAATTATTTAAATCAATATAATGTACAGTGTAAAGAGTAAACATTTAGTTATACAAAATATATACAATAAAAGATAGAACAACATAATTAGATTGTCGTGCAACATGCCACCCCTATTCCATAAAGAATATAAGCATGAGTTTAACATTAAGTATGCAAATGTATCATGGATTTTCAAATTATAGTTTTAAACCCATGTTTAGATGTTTTCCTGTTTTAAAGCCTTAAAGAAAGAACATACTTCCATCTAAAAGCTTCTAAAACAAATCTGTCAATACTTTTGTAACAACATGCATTACCACACACCTTACACATATTATGTTTTAAAATATAGGGTTTTAAAAAACAGCTTACATTAAATTGGCATGGTGTTCTTATGGTTTTGATTACTTACCAGTGGTGCTTTTCAGAATATACTGTAAGACCCCATCTTAAAAAAACAAATATATTTTATTTTCCAGAAACCAGGGATATATGAGAGAACAAAATAATAGTAAATTCAGGAATTTGCTAATATTTAATAAGCCAAATCATTTTACATGATGCTTGCAATTCAAATTATTGCAATAAACAAACAAACAAACAAACAATATTCAGGGCAAACCTGCAAAGGAGACTCAGTTAAAATGGCACTGTAAGATCCAGTGTGTTCTTAGTGCATTCTATAACAATTATGCTCTCTTTACAAGTAGCTACAAGACCTTCCAATTAGCATACCTGAAAACAATTTGGTTTCAAACACTCCATCTAGTTTTGTTCATCTTATAGATTATCAAAACAGCAACAAAGTTCTGCAGGTCAGATTATCATAATTGCTACTTCTCTGCAACTCGACTGAACTTATCTTATACAGCATATTTGATCTTAATTATGTAGGTTCCACTGCTACCACAATTAAAAAAATAAACACATTTTTGGCAATGATGTGAAAAACTATGATTATACTTATACATGTGTGTGTCTGCATGCACACGTGTTCGCATGTGTATATATATTATGTCACTTGTGCATGTGTAAAATATACACCATCTCATTATATTCTCATATGTATTGTGTGAGCGGACATACGCATGCACAGGTGTGTCTATGTGCAGGTGTGCATGCATACGTGCATTACATATGTGTATAAGCATGGAATATATCCAAGAATAAGAGGTGGTCGTCTGACATTATTTTCAAGAGAAGTGTTAAATAACTTTCATGAATGATGTTATAGAACCTTAGTTGAAAGGTTAAGATTAAACTGGACATACCTAGGCCCAGGTTCATAGTTGGGTGCTTCCCAGAGAGGCACTTCAAATGACTCAGCCTGCTGGAAGCCAAGGCTGGGGTGGACAGCCCTGATGATCTCAGCTCAGACAAATGAGATACAAAGCAGGCAAGCCAGGTGGTGGGATCCACTAGAAACTGCACCCATGATGTGCTCAGTGGAGGGAAATACTCTGTCACACTGGTCAAAAAGGTCAGGTATACACTGAGAGCACAGAAGAGGAGCATAAAAGTCTCTTCACTTCCACAAACTGAGCAACGGAAGAACTTCCATTTGACCAAGGAGATATACTAGAGGATTGTTGAGGTCATTTCCATCCCCAGGATTTAATGCTATTCTAGTCTGTTTCTGATAGGAGTAGAATGGACATGAAGTCTGTGGGGACAGGCAGTGATGGGGACTTGATTTTTAGGATGGGCTGAGTATAATTTAAAACATTGCATCATGACATTTTGTGATGGTGAGAGAGGGTTAAGGAGCTGAAAGCTTGCAAATGAGCCAGAAAGGTAATAGGAAAAGAGAAACAGGAAAGGCAAAAAGAAAGGGAGAAAAAAGGAAAGGAGAAATGGTCTGTCACTTCTGCCAACTTTAGTCCCTTGTTCTGACCCAGATCTCATTTGCAGGGTATGGACGTATTCCTGTGCTCCTGAGGAAAAGACCAATCTGCAGCACCTCACTTTGTTTCCTCACTGGGAATTAACTGAAGTACCTAGCATCTGCTGCTGGGCACCCAGGCTGACCTACCCTAGATCAGAATTTATCTACAACAAAGCCAAACCAGCATTACTATGTCCTTGATTTTAATCTGTACCTGCCTACATGTTTCTAGGGCCATAAATATCACATAGTTCTTCGTGCTGAGATACTTAGTGAATAACATCAACTGAAAGAGAACTTGTCTGTCCTTTGGGAGGCATTGCGTGAAGGGCACTAGATGACTATTAGCATATCAATGATTTTGCTTTCATCAGCACTACTAAATAGGAGATCTACAGCCCAAATTAAATTTTCAGCATAGGTTACATCTATACTCTGAACTGTATAGGCTAGTCAAGGTTTACAGCACCTCTACACCTAGGTCAGATGATTACCTGAGGCTGGATGGAAAAGCCTGATAAGAGCCCAGGTCAACTATGCAGTAGAAAAGCTTGGTCAGGAGTTCCATTTATGTTCTTAGGCACTAATAATCATCACAGCAATATGAAATCCTCTACTGAAGGTCTTCAGGCTGACACTGAAGTTCATAATTAGTCTAGTCTTTGCATATTAAAGTTTGGCTCAATGCTAGAATGAAGCATACATGCTTCAAGAGCAATTGAACTAGTAAGGAAAACATTTAGCAGAAATAATACACTTAAGATTAACAAAACCCAATCAATAAAGTAATTTCCCAGCACAGAAGAGTTAACATGGAATACAGCACCACAGATAGCAACACAAAAACTAATATTAGGTAGTTTAATTTAATTCAGGATAGGGGCAAGTTCCAATTGCTTTTTTGACTCCATCCTACAAATGTTTTATATTTCCATTTCATTGTACCTTTATACACAATGCATAACTCATTTTCTTTTCAATTCTTACTTTGTTGGTGGCTTCATTTTCTTTTTCACTCCAAGATAGACTTTCACTGAATTAAGAGACAACACTTTTTCAGGTTTGTTACTCTGTGAATGAACACAAGATTCTAATTACCACATCAGAAATAAACAAAATAAAAGAGTGATCTTCAATAACATCCAACAATTTGTTTTACCAGTCCTCTGTAGACTTTTCATTTTCAGGCTTTTCATGTATTTTTATTTTTTCTTCCATTAAAAAGTGATACCAAATCACTATCTTTAGGGGGGAAAATGATCAACCACCTGAATAAATGTAGTAAAATAATATTCATCAGGTCTGGCAGTGCCCACTTGGGGCTAGGAGAATGAAATGAACTTTAGGAATTCTCTACTAGAAGAAAGTGAGTCGCATGTGAACGCCTCATTCACGTAAGAGTAATATTAATGTTTGTAGCTGACCACTTTCAGGTTTCCCTTCATCAAAGCACTTGAGTGCATGCTAAGTGTTAGCGCTTAAGGTTAAGCATAAGAATGTGTTGATTCAGGGCCTCAACTTCTACCTCACAAAATTTTAAAGTCTCTCTAACCTTAACCTAGAGGAGTAAAAATAAAACAGTCTGATTTTGAGGAAACCAGTTCTTTGCGCGCACACAGAAAAATGTATAAAAAGGTATAGAAAGTTCTATATTTTTTCCATATATGAGCAAAGTGATATTCTTCACATATAGGCAAACACATCTTAAAAGACAGCAGGCATTGGCTTGTTGCCATCATCAGCTAAACAACAGGGAATCTTGGAGCTTATTTCTTTCTAAATTCAGAATCCCAATATGACAGCTAAGTATATTGCTGCATCAGCAAAAAGGTACCTGGATAAAATACATTTCTGAACCTGTTCCATTAGAGTACAGTTTTCAAATCCTGTTCCTAGAGACAAAACGATGTCTTATCTGTGTGTGTGTGTGTGTCTCATCTGTGTCTCATGTGTATGTGAATTTTTTAATGACAGCATATTCATATAATATGATACTTTCAGGAAATTGGTATAATACTGTAAATGAATGTAATGTGAATACATGTAATATGAATTATTCATGATAATTTTTTTTCTTTTTGGATACATTAAGACTGAAATAAAACTTTAAATTAGCATTCTGTGGAGTGATTTCTCTTCTTAAAAAATCTCAGCGAAATTTGTTGTTAATGAGCATTTTAAAATTATATCCAATTAGCACATATGCTTATCTTAAATGCAGGTCTCCATCTGTAATATCAATTCCTTCAACTACTCTTTCCTAAATATGGCTTAAAAATGAATTATAATAACTATAGGCATGAGGACAACTGTTAAATGACACACAAATAAAAATGAGTTCAAGTTTGCTTTCAGAACTCCATAAAGCAGAAGTCAATATAGCACTTCTCTTTTTAAAAAAAACCCCAACACATAAAAACTTCACCTGAGTTTAGAAACATTTTGAAACCTTGTGAAACAGAATAGTTTAGCAGCTGGAAAAATAAGGTTTAAGGCAATTCACACTACTTCTATCATAAACTCTTGTTAAGGTGCTAATTAAGGTTTAGGAGCATTAATTTATTCTCACATATGTGCTAATTTTAGTTTTTAGTACTAAATAATTAGACACTACTTTTGACATCCTGAGGTCATTCTAATTAAGAAATATATCTACGGTCTCATAAAAAAAACACATTTCTTTCACTATAATCTTATAGTAACTACTAAAGCATAAACTCTTCTCTAAGGAACAATATGGTCCTTTGAGTACCATAAGGAAGATCAGCATGCATATATATGCTGTACAGAGAAAAATAGCATTGATCCAAATGAATAATACTGTCTTTAAAAGATAGTGTTTACCAGAAGCTAACAAAATTGGACTGAAATAAAATAACTCACACATACTGTATACTACATTATTTTATTTTACAATTTTGTATAAACTGTATCCATTCAAAAATATCCTGCAAACAACTAGGCCCTGAGCTCTTAAGGATCAACCCAGCAAAGCTCTCAACATATATTTAACTTGGTCCCATTGAGTTCACTCATATGAGTAAAGGTTGATCACTAAATAAGATTCTTTCCAGGATTTGGCCTCCCCCCAGTAATACAGGTTCACTTTTCTTTACTATTGACAAGTTGAATGATAGCTTTAGAATTATGGGCTAGGGGTAGAGAAGGTTGTATCAATGGAATAAAAAATTCTATTTTTACCATCTTTTTCATAATGACACAAAAATCTGGACACCATTCTTTTTAAAGCCACAAGATCTTCAGGCAGACCACAATAAGTTTTCTAAACTCAGAAAATACTTGGACCACAGCTCTATCTATAAAATATAAGATCTTTAAAATATATACTTATGATATAAACTATTCTTACTTTTTAAATGTAATTTTAGGAAAACAAATATTTAAAGGGAAGCTTTTATTTCCTCATTGATTATAAACTTTATTAACAGATCTAAAAGCTCTGTCTTTAAAATCCCTAAATTGTGATAGACAAATGTAATAGAATTACTGATTTTCCTGTCACATTCTGCTCATCTTTATAAGCAAAGAAAAGTCTAAGTTAGTGCTTATACCTTCATATCCTTGTAAAGGAGTAGATTTCTCTCTCGTAAAACAAAATAACGGTCTTGAAATTTACTTCCAGAGAGTAGCTTTGATGATTCTTCTTTGTACTTCAGATAGCCTGCCTTCACACTTCCCTTTACATCACTCTCTGTCAAGACAGTGAAAAGAATTTACTCAGAGAATTTTTATATACTAATCATTACTGAATTTTAAATGACCCTATTATTATTGTATATCAACCCACTACAACCAAAATGTGATTGTTCTCAATTCTGTCATTGTAAAATGTGTTCTAAATATGCAGGCAACCCCTGTTTAGCACTCTTAATTGGTTACGGAAAAAATGAGTGCTAAGCGAAATAGCGTTAAGTGAAACCAATTTTCCCATGGGAATAAATGTAAATAAATATAATTTGCTTCCAGGGCCCCCCATTCATACTATAAAATCACTTAAATCCTCACTAGAACTATGAAATCCCTATATTCAAACATCTAAATGTATGTAAATGCTTTATTTAACACCTTGAACTTTGAAATAATGTATAAAATTACAAAATAAAGTAATTAAGTATATACGCAAATTCACTTTCACTTTTTGCTCTTTGGGCTTTCTTCAGCACTCAGAATCAGGGCTGTCAGGGTTAGTGACAGTTTCAGGGGATTTTGAAGTGCTTGGCTGAGGATTTTTTGGAGGGGTGGCTTCAGGGGCTGAAGCAGGAGTTGTGCACTTCCTAAAGAAGGACAAGATTGATAGCTGCACTTCGGCTTCTTCTTTTATTTGTAAAGCAGCCGGTAACAATTGACTTCATTGTTAACTCCTTGCAAATGAAGAACTGCACTGCATGTTGGGGTCATTCTTATCAAAGTAGGAAAGAAAAGTTTCAAGACATTTGAAAGCTTCAGTCATGCCTTTGCCGGTTAAGGCCCTGGCTAGCTGAACATCTTCTTTAGCATCTTCCTCCTCTTCATGGCTTCCCTGTTATTCTATTTGAATGAGGTCCTCATTGATCAATTCCTCCCTGTTGGAATCAATCAACTCCTGAATGTCCTCTTATTCAAGTTAATCAAATCCAATTTTCCTTCCAAGATCAATGGTATTGTCCTGAATTGTTACCACTGATTCCTCAAACTCTTGGGAATCCTGGACAGTCTTCCCAAAGCTTCACCAGATACCTTTCATTGTTTTAGAAGCAACTTCATCCCAGGCACGTGAAATATTATCTATTGCCTTGCAGATATTATAGTCCTTCCAATTCTTTTAGGTTGGAGCACTCTCTCCATCTGTAGCCCTGACTCCCTGGGAGAATGTTTTCCTTATGTAATATTATGCATTTCTCAACTGCAGGACAAAAATAATCCCTGAACCAACTATGAAAAATTGACTTCATCACCCAGGCCTTCTTGTTAGACTTCCAAATGACTGGCAGACTGCTTTTAAGATGCCTCTTTAGAGCCCTGGGATTTTCTGAGTGGTATACAAGCAATGTTTTCAGTTTAAAATTCCCTGCACCCTTACCACCAAACAAGAAACTAAGTAGATCCTTGGAAACCTTAAAACCTGGCATTGGCTTCTCCTCCCTCGAAATGTAAGTCCTAGAAGGCATCCTCTTTCAGAAGAGGCTTGTCTCATCAGCATTGAAGACTTGTTGGGCATATAACCCCCCTCCCTCAATGATTTCCACAAGTGTATTTCTATAACTGGAAGCTGCTTGGGTGTCAGCACCAGCAGCCTCCCTCTGAACAGAATAGTTAAGCAAGTTGCTGCGCCTCTTAAATCTTTCAAACAACCCCTTACTTGCAATAAAAGGCTCAGAAGCAGACCCCTCAGGCAAATTTTTTTTAAAATCATCATACAGACTCTTGGCTTTCTTCTGAATAAGCAGCATACTCAAGAGCATATGACACTGAGTTGTATCCTCTATCCATACACTTAACAGCCTCTCCATTTCTGACATAATTGGACCCCTACTCCTACTGAGTTTCAAAGCATTCAAAGAAGTTACAACCCTACCATATTCTTTTATTTTGTCTTTACTTTTCAATATGGTCTTAACAGTTGACCCAGCCAAATTCTACACTCCACAGAACTCATTCTGGCATTCCCCTGCTTCAATTTGCTTCAGGACATCCAGTTTAAGCTCCAGTGTTACGCTTCTGTGCCATTTTTTCTCAGCACTTGCAGTCACAGAGCTGGTTGCATGTTTCTGACTCATGAAGATTGATTTCAATACTGAGTTCAAAAGATGAAGCAAGACGGTGACACAAGTACAGAGCATGAAAGTTTTTGACAAAGCAAGATAGTGATGAGGCTCTGTGCTGCCAATGCTGCCTGCTCGATACCCATAAGCATTATAGGGAAACTTGCTGAGTGCTAAGTGGAATCGGGTATCAATGTAAAATGAGCGCTAAAGCGAAATAATGCTAAACAAAAAAGCAGTAAGTGGGGGCTGCCTGTATCTTTGGTGGAAGATGTTACTGAAACACAGAAGGCTAAAATATATTTATCTACAAAAAGCGGGCAATACAGGCATAAGCAATTCAAGCTATGCTATATGACCAACGTATTTCTACTTGGACATGGAGAGACTAAAGATCTTTCATAAGAATGAAGGTGCAGTACATTTCCAAAGTTTGTTTTTTCACTTCCCTGAAAAAACTTTTGAATAGCAATCAATGGCCATTGATTTTTCTGTCATGTTAGTACTAGAAGGAACTGTCAACTTGTTCTAGAGTAAGTAAAAAATGTATCTTAATTTTTATGCTAAAAAAATAAAAGTTCTTCAAAACGAGCAGTGACATAAATTATTGCTTTGGAAACAATTCATTTTCTTTCAAAAACTTTGAGTTTTTAACATATAAATTAAATATTTTAAATTTTTTCTTTTGTAAACACTAGGTTTTCAGTAATCTGAGAATAATATGGCCGTTAGGATGTCATTCTTTTTGACAAAACAGAAATAAATAAAGTGTTGGGATTTTGGTTAGTATTTTCTTTTTTTAAAGAAGAAGTATAGGTTTGTTTTAAACTGTAGAGAAAGACGACAAATGTCAAAGTTCAATGATCTTTTTTTCTAACTTTGAACAAAGACTTTTTGGCTTAAGTGGCAAACACTTCTTGTTGCAAATTATTACAATTACCATGCTAAATTTAAATGGCTTATTGAAAATACTGATCCAGATGGAATTTATTTATTTGACAAAGAAAAAAAAAGAATGGAGTGGGATTTAGAATAGGAAAGCAAGAATTAACTGTAGCTATTGCTATTTGCATCTGTCATAATGCCTACTGAAGGGCACAGAACCCAGCAGCATCTGGAAGTATTAAATTATATTTTAGCTTTAATTTGGGGTGACCAATAGGTAAAGTTAACTGCTCAAAGAAGACAGCAGCCAAGAGAAAAAAGTAGTTTTGCTCCTACATTCCAGGCTTTACAGTAACTCCAGTGAGAGTGTTACATAGAATTAAAAAGTGCTAATATTTCCATTGTCCTAAAATTCCACCAGCTGTAAAATCTGTCACGTTTTTATGCATGCTCTTTTTCCTAGCTTACACTATTTGATCTGGCTTCAGAAGTGGCCACTTCGGATGCCAGGGATCTGATCCGGAGCTCCGGACCAGGTTTTCACTTTAATCTGGCTGAAGCAGTTCCAAAGCTTCAGAGCTGCCTCAGAGATCCAGCCATAGGGTGTAATGGGGAAATCAGGGAAATATCTATAACTTTGTTGTTTTTTGTCTGATTTGTATGAAACTTACAGGGGTGGTAGCCTCTGCTGTGAGTGTGAAGCCTGCCAAGCTTCAAGAGGATCGGTGCAGGGGTTTGGGGGAGAACTGCACCCCAAATTCTTGAAAGCAAAACTCACATCACATGTATGTGTTACACCACTTTGGGGTGGTAGCCCCTGGTCAGGCCATGAATCCTGCCATGTTTCAAGAAGATCAGTGCAGGGGTTTGCGGGGAACTGCACCTCAAGCTGCTGACAGGCAAAACTTGTGACATAGATGACCCTGTGTGTGTTAAGGTGCAGCAGGCTGAAAACTGCAGGGGCGGTGGCCCCTGCAGAGACCATAAAGCCTGCCAAGTTTCAAGGAGATAAGTGCAGGGGCTTCAGGGGAACTGCACCTCAAGCTGAGGACAAGTAAAACTCATGATATGGGTGACACTGTGTGTGTTAAGGCACAGCAGGCTGAATGCTGCAGGGATGGTAGCCCCTGCTGCAGCCAAAGAACCTGCCAGCTGTCAAGGAGATAGGTGCAGGAGTTCTGGGGCCTCAGAGGCAAACTCATGACATGGGTGCTTGTGCAACTTGACTATAAAAGTAAAGGAAACAAAATCTGAAATATTCCTTCACAGAAATCTAAAGAGAAATCATACTTTCATCAGTGTGTGAAAGTCAGCAACACAACAGAGATCTAATTAAAGTTCAAGAGTCATTTGCTTAAAAGGATCATCAAATTACACAGTGAAGCATAATTAGGAACTAATGACTCCTACAATAAAATTATAATCAGAACTATCAAATACTTTGTGTTGATACATTCTTTTACATGAGTAATTGATTGCTCAAAATATGGCACAAAAACATTACAGGTATTATTCCTAGTTCTGACTCATAGGCCCTAACACTTAATGTCTAAGAAAGAAGTGGGAACCTAGATATGCTCCAACCCACACCCGCCCCACACCGGCCAATGGCACCACACTCACTCTGGCCCCAGCCAGCACATAAGCACTGCTGCTGCAGCCACCTAGGAAATGCTCAGCTCCCCCTGCTCTTGCTCCAAGCAGGAGTGAAGTTGCAGCCAGGCAGCTTCTGCCCTACCAAATGGAGCTGCAGCTCCCAGCCACCTTCCACCCACTCCTCCTGCCTGGCATGATGAGCATAAGCAGCCACCTATGGGTGGGTGACATGGATGAAGGTGGTTGGAAGCTAGAGCTGGAGCTTCCCCCCTTTGAGCAGAGCAGGAGGAGTTGTCACTGTCACTAGAGGCAGCGGGAGCTGAGCAATACCTGGGCAGCTGTAGCAGCAGTGCCGTGTGCACTGGCCACAGATGGGGCTAGGGTGGTGCCGTCAGTGGATTCGGGTCAGTTGTGGGTGGTACAGGCTTCCCAGGGTGGGAGTGGGGAGGTCTCATTCCTATGTGGAGCA